GAGAGGGTGCGTGAGCAGGGCCACTGCCCAGTTGTGCTCCGCACTCTTGTCAAGGTGTAGTATCTGTCGCTCCAAGTTCAGTGTACGAGGGCCTATGTCGTCCTTCTGGCCCAGCGCGTGCACGGGCAGCCGGCGTGCTCGCTTCGCTGCGTCGAGGAGCGAGGACCAGGTTTGGGACCCTGGGCCCGCGGTTATGGGTGCTGCTGCTCACCCGTTGGCCATCCATTGCCATGAGACCCATTCCTTGCCCGAGCTGAATGGGGTCTTGTATTGCTCGACCTGCGGGTGCTTCGCGGCGCAAAGCTGTCGCGGCCTGCGAGTGGAGTGCGAGCCTCCGACCCGCACTGGAGGGGAGGTATTGCGGCGTCTGGCGCTCCCGCCGAAGTGGGGAGTGTCGTTCCCTCGCGAGTCATGCAGTTGGTGCGGCCGAGCTTGCACTCGGGTCCCGCGCTTTCGCAATAGCGCCATAGCGCTCCTCCTCCTCCTCCTCCTCCTCCTCCTCCTCCTCCTCCTCCTCCTCCCTCCTCCTCCTCCTCCTCCTCCTCCTTCTCATCCTCCTCCGCCTCCTCCTCCTCCTGTTCCCCATCCTCCTCATCCTCATCCTCCGCCTCCTCCTCCTCATCATCCTCGTCGTCGTTATCCATCCTCCTCCTCCTCCTCCTCCTCCTCCTCTCCTCCTCCCCTCCTCCTCTTCATCTTCTCCGCCTCCTCCTCCTCCTCCTCCTCCTACACAGCTCCTCCTCCTCCTCGTCTTTCTCCCTCCTCCTCATCCCTCCTTCTCCTCCTCCGCCTCCGCCTCCGCCTCCGCCTCCTCCTCCTCCTCCTGTTCCCTATCCTCCTCATCCTCATCCTCCTCCTCCTCCTCCTCCTCCTCCTCCTCCTCCTCCTCCTCTCCTCTCAATCATCCTCGTCGTCGTTATCCCCTCCTCCTCCTCCTCCTCTCCTCCTCCTCCGCCTCCTCCTCTGTCCCCATCCTCCTGATCCTCCTCCTCCGCCTCCTCCTCCTCATCATCCTCGTCGTCGTTATCCTCCTCTCCTCCTCCTCCTCCTCCTCCTCCTCCTCCTCCTCTCCTCCTCCTCCTTCTCCTCCTCATTATCCTCCTCCTCCTCCTCCTCCTCCTCCTCCTCATCATCATCATCAGCAATCATCATCATCATCAACCACCACCACCACCATCATCATCATCATCACACAGCAGCATCAGCATCATCATCATCATCATCATCATCATCATCATCATCAGCATCATCAACATCATCATCAGCAGCATCATCATTATCATCATCATCATTATCAACATCAGCATCATCATCATCATCAGCATCAGCATCATCAGCATCAGCATCATCATCATCATCAGCATCAGCATCATCATCATCATCAGCAGCAGCAGCATCATCAGCATCATCACCACCACCACCATCATCATCATCGTCGTCATCATCATCGTCATCATCATCACCACCACCATCATTATCATCATCAGCATTATAATCAGCACTGTCATCATATCATCACCATCATCAACAACATCGTCATCATCATCATCATCATCATCGTCGTCATCGTCATCATCATCAGCATCATCAGCAGCATCATCAACATCATCAGCATCATCCGCATCATCAGCATCATCATCAGCATCATCATCATCATCATCCGCATCATCAGCATCATCATCAGCATCATCATCATCATCATCATCATCATCATCATCATCATCATCATCATCATCTTTTTTTTTCCATCGCATCTTTTGGAGATGGGAAGGAGGAGGCGAAAGGAGAGGGCGCGACGATGAACCTGCCGATGCTCACGTCTGTATGGCCAGCGCGGGGCACAGGACAGGAGCCTTGAGCGAAACGACCTCACAGCACCGGCGGAGCATGCGGATTGCCCTACACTATTAACGCCGAGCGCTGGAAAGAACATACGGAAGAACCGCGCCTGTCACGGTTTCCGCCGGCGGGTCTGCGGCTCGCCACCACCGAGGTGGAAATGAGCATATTATCGTGAACCCGGTGTGGACAAGAGAAGCGGAGGAGGAGGACAGGAGAAACGCTCATGAGTGCGAAGACCAGCTGAGACTTCGCCCAGGGTGCGCGCACATAGGTCCCACACGAGCGGGGGGGGGAGCGGACGCCAGAGACAACGCAAGGAGAGGACACTAGCTACAATGAAATACAACGTCACATGATGGAGCCATGGCGTCCACCGCAAAGCCGGTCCGAGACCTACCGCGTAGGGGCGGAGCGCGGCTGAGGGAGCACGCCGTTGGGGCAGGCAGTCCAACAAAAAACAAAGAGTAGAGACAGGCCAATAGGGAGGCGAAGAGCGCCGACTGCCTAAAGAGCTCCACGCCTGCCCCAAGCCTAAGAGGAGCAAGAAGCACGCCTAACAGGGCACAACGTAGTACTGGATATCCTCGTAATGCCAAAAGCCTGTACCTGAGCAGGGAGGGGGGGCGGTGGAGGCGAGAACAGAGTGGCGGAGAGGCACGGGAGCCCAAAAAGCACCGAGAGAGCCCTCAGGACGCGTCAATCTCGGCCAGCCCCGCGTTGGACGCGTCGATCCTCGCAGAGTACGCCTCCACCCCTGCCACGACTCCATCCTCCAGCACGTCGTCGTTCTCCTGGTGCAGGCGTTGGTGCTGGCGTCGGTGCTGGTGTAGGCGTTGGCGTTGGTGCTGGCAACGGTGATGATAACGGTGCTGGCGTAGGTGCTGGCGCTGGTCCCAGCGCAGGCGTCGTCAGATGGCCGGCGTTGGTGCTGGAAACGGTGCTGGCGTCGGCGCTGGTGCAGGCGCTGGCGTTCTAGATAGCGCTCCCAACGTTGGTGAGGCGTCGGTGCTGACGTCGGCGCTGATATAGGCGCTAGCGTTGGTGCATGCGTCGTAGGTCCAAGCGCTGATGCTGGCGAGGGTGCTGGTGTAGGAGCTGGCGAGTGTGCCGGGGTCGGGCTGGGGCCGGCGTCGGCGTCTGCGCTGGCGTAGGCGCTGGAGGTGGTGGCGGCTGGAGGTTGGTAGGTGGAGGTGGGGGTGGGAAGACAGAGGGAAGTGGGCGTAGGGAGGGCCAGTGGGGTCAGTCGGGCGCCCTTGTCTTGGCACATTGATGCTGGAGTAGGGGCTGACGCTGGCGTAGGGGCGTTGGTGCTGCTGCGCGTGGCGCTGCTGGTCTCAGCCGTGGGAGTCAAAATGGTGTACCGGCCTATCCGCAATTTCCGGCGTGCCGGCCCATCCGCTATCGAACGGCGGCGGTGCTGGCGTCGGTGCTGGTGTGGGAGCCGGTGTTGGTGTCGGCGTATGCGTCGGCATTGATGCTGGCGTAGGGGCTGACGCTGGCGTAGGGGCGTTGGTGTTGCTGCGCGTGGCGCTGCTGGTCTCAGCCGTGGGAGTCAAAATGGTGTACCGGCCTATCCGCAAGTTTCGGCGTGCCGGCCCATCCGCTATCGATGGCGGTGGTGCTGGCGTCGGTGCTGGCGTCGGTGCTGGTGTGGGAGCCGGTGTTTGTGTCGGCGTATGCGTCGGCATTGATGCTGGCGTAGGGCGTCGTCAGGAATGGCGTCGGGTAGGGCGTCGGGCAGGGCGTGGGGTAGGGCGGCGGGTAGGGCGTCGGGTAGGGCGTCGGGCAGGGCATAGTCGGGAAGGGTGTCGGGAAGGGCGCCGGGAAAGGCGCGGGGTTGGGCGTCGGGTAGGGCGTGAGGTAGGGCGTCGGGCAGGGCGTCGTCGGGAAGGGCGACGGGAAGGGCGTCGGGGAGGGCGTGGGGTAGGGCGCCGGGAAGGGCGACGAGAAAGACGACGGGGAGGGCGAGGGGTAGGCCGTCGGGAAGGGCGAGCGGAAGGGCGACGGGCAGGGCGTCGGAGTCGACGTCAACACAACTGCCGCCGTCGTCGCCGACGTTGACGCCCGCCCTCACAGGTGCAGAGGTATGGGAGGAATAGGCTTGTCCTGCCGCCAGCGATTCCACCTGTCGTCGAAAGCGCGCATGGCGTTACGATGGTTTTTTGCGCCCTCCCGCATCCATTGCGTGATGGCCTCACACATGTCGGTGCCCCGCGCCGGGGGGTTGTGCCGGAAGTGATTGACCGCATTGTAGATACCGTACGTTAGCAATGCAAGTACGGCAAGTTCGTCCTGGGTCTGGGTGTACGAGTTGCACAACAAGAACGTGTGGAGGTTGGCGTACACGCGCGGGGATAAGTCGAGCTTGCGAGCCAATACCTCCTTCGTGAACGGGCACCGACAGTAATGTTCAATCGAGTCCTCCGCTGCACCTCCACACCCAAGAACACACCGGTTGTGCTGCGAATGGCGCTCCTGGAACCGGCGGCGCGTGTACCATCGATTCCACCTAGTCCCGAATACTGCGGAGCACACACGCGGTGGAACCAACTTGGGAAGCAGTTGGAGGTTGGCCGCAGCCCGGCGTGCCTGCCATGACGGCGTGTTGTGTCGGACGCTTGTCCCTGCTGGCGGTGGATGCTTCATATGGTCGAACAGCTCCCAACGTCGAAACTTGGCCCGGACTCGGAAGGCAGGTTGGGGCGCGTTGTGCATGAGCAGCAAGTGGTATGCCCGTCGCTGGAAGTTGGTCCTGGGGTGGGTCTTGGGCGTTGCCTGGACGCGGGCGTCGTCCAGCCGAGCATGACCGTTGGTTTCGCCTTCGTGCTCGCATGGCCCGGTTGACGTCTTGCAAAGGTCCCACGGCGACCCGAACCGAACTTCAAACGATTGCCAGGTGTTCTCAAGGGTAAGCGCGAAGGCTCTGGAATACCAATCGTCCCAGCGAGCCCTGTTGAGAAGCTGTTGGGGTCGTGAGAGTGCTTCCCTGAGATCCCGCACATCCTGTGCGTAGTGGCGCGCCCTGCAAGCCGGATCCCAGGCGCGGACTCGTAGTTGCGAGGCCTGGGACGCCAGACGAATCGACCGACAGGAAGCGGATTGCCCGTAGGACTCGCGGAGCCTCCACATGTCGTCTGGCGACGCCCATGCATGAGGTCCTTTGTGGGTGATCTTCAGTCCGTCCTCCTCCAGCTTCAGGATGCCTGCTGGTACTTGTTCTAGTTGTCCAATGTACCCCAGCGTAGATACTGCAAAGGTATTGTACGCCACCGTGTGGTACTGCAGGCCCATGCCCTGGTCTCCCCAGTCGCGGCACCGTTGGGTGTACTTCTTGCCGGGTTCGTCCCAGGAGCGCTCGCCCTTGCCAGGGCCGACGAGGAAGCCCAAATATTTCCCGCATTCGGCCAGCGGCATGTCAGACCATTCTGGGAGTCGTTCTTCCCGTTTCACCTTGAAATCTTCCAACGTTCCGATGCCCAGGGGGATCGCGATGCATTTGTGCAAGTTAAGGTGTAGGCCTGAGATCGCTCCAAAATCTTCAGATATACGCTGTAGTCTCGGCGCCTCCAGCCAGTAGTCCAACAACACAAGAGCGGCATCGTCAGCATATGCTCTCACTAGCGTGTTGGGGCAATCCGTTTCGATGCGATCCATGAGCACCTCCGCGACCGTGGCGTACAGCAGCGGAGAGAGGGGACAACCCTGTCGCACTCCTGCTTCGAGAGGGAACCCGGCGGCCTCGATAGAACCGTGTCGAACGTAACAGTACGACTCTGAATACAACGCCCTGAGGAGGTTCATGGCTCCTCCCGGAAGACCAATCGCAGACAACGTGGAGAACATGAACTCCTGAGATATGGATGGGAATGCCGATGCGAAGTCCATCAGCAAGCAAGCCCCGTTCTCGTGAGTGAGCGAAGTGATCATGCTGGCGCTGTCCACGTCCAGGAGATTACTTAGAATGCTTCGGCCTTGAAGGAAGCCCTGCTGTCGGGGCAAGATCCACTTAGCCAGGTGTTCTTCCCATCGATTGCGAGCGGCGCTAGCCACCAGGCGATTGTCAGCGTTGACAATGTTCAGGGGGCGTGTATTGGCCGGGGTGTAGCTTTTGACGCCTTCAGGTGTGACACCGGTGCTCTTCTTGGCCAAGCAGACGAGAATGCTCTCGTTGTAGTGGTGCGCGTGGGTATCGGGTTCGTCGAAATACGCGGCATGAAGCTCTTCTGCCCCTTGCGGCCGCTCGAGACTCTGTGCAACGCCATGCAAAATAGAGACACCCAGTGGCCCCAGCGCGCGCCATGCCTTGAATGGGATGCCGTCTGGTCCCGGGGCTGAGTTTCCGCTGTACCGCACGGCCTTCTCCACATCTTTCCTCCGTATGCGCCAATGCCTGGCGTCGGTAGGCAGGGGCGGGCGCTCTTGTCTCGCCCTGCCGTGAGGTCCGCTCGAATGAAGGGCGCCCTCCTGGCGTGGATCAGACTGACTACGCCGCGGGGCGCCCGGCGGGCGTGGAGAGCGGGTTCGCGAATGCACGTCTTGGAGCCAATCTGTCAACAGATGGTGGTTGATGGGTTTCTTTTTGAATGTTCGGGCCCAGTGCGCCCCCAATTCCTTTGCAATTGAAGCTGGGTCCGTGGCATAATCCCCGGCAGACGTCTCGATGGCCCCAATGCTGGTACATGTGCCCGGCATGAGTCGCTTCAGCCGGCTGAGTATGTTGCGCTTGCGTGTCGTTTTTCTGTAGTCATTGCAGCCCTCCTCAGCATGCTGTTGCAGATCGCGTTGCTCGTCCGTGATGTCCTGCCTCGCGAGAGCGACCACATGGTCCTGGAGTGCGTGGAAACCCACCGCGAAGCACGCGTTAGGGTCCCTAGGGTCCACGAGCGTGCCAATGTACGGGTACTCCAAGTACTTGCGGTACATCTTGGGCAGGTTGACGTCCTGGGCGGCCCTGACAAAGCTGAGGGCGCAGCGGAGCTTGTCGTCGTTGGAGGTGGCTGTGGCATATAGACCCTCTTTCACCATGTTGTCCGAGACTGTGTGCATGGCCCGCTTGACCAGTATAGATCTGCGTACTGAGTTGTCGAAGTCCTGGGGGGTAGTTGATATGTAATGCAGTTCAGCCGCTACTCGTCGAGGCCAGTCGGGATGGTTGATGGTGCCGGTGGTGATGTTGGGATGCTTACGTTGACTAGTGCCGGCGTCGCTGTCGTCGTCTCCCGCAGCCTTGTCGACGGAGTGCGGTTTCTTCTTGACTCCCCCAGGGCGGACTCGGAAGAATGACAGGGGGGCGTGAGATGAGAGGCCCCGGACTCTCGAGAGTGCGCTGCAACCGAACTTGTAGTCGAGCTGCTCCGACGGGTGGTGGTTAGTGTAGACCCGGTCGATGCGTGACGTGGCAATGGTGGAGAAATATGTGTGCCCTTGTTCTTCCTGGGACAGCTCGTGGAGCCGGTACGGGCGAAATGCAATTTCCTCTGTCCGGGCTGCCTCCTGCTCATCTTTCGCGCCAGACCAGCACTTGCCTGCGCAGCACCACCGGTCCTTTGGGGAGGTCACGTAGTTCCAATCACCAGCAACAATGGAGAGGGTGGAGGTGGGGAGGGCCACATGCTGCGCGAGGAGGGCGTGAGATCGATCTCGTGCTCGGAGGTCTTGTGCGTGCCCTTCGCCAGTGCAGAGATATATTGCCCAGATGTCCAGGTTGCCGTCAGGGCCGCGGAGCCGGAGCCGTGCAACCCGGCCAGGCTCCAGCTCGAAGAAATCCCCGGGCTGAAACGTTGCGAACTTGGCCAGGAAACTTTTCTGCAATACAATTCCCACTCCGGCCCGACTGCCTGAGAAGTGGGACCAGTGAGCGTCGCACCCTGGTGGAAGAGAGAATGCCGCTTCCTTACTTGTCGTGCCGTGCGTTTCCACAAAGACGCCGAAGTCGTGCGAGGCCATAAGTTTCGCCATGTGGTTGCACTTGGGCGTCTGCCGGTTGGCTTTACTGGCGATGAGCGCCTCGCAGTTCCACGAGCACCCCGTATAATTCCCCGTGTAGGGTCTCCCGGTGACAGCTGCTGGGGGCCGACGAGTGGAGTGCGGAGCTGGCGGCGGCTGGAGGTCGATCGGTGGAGGTGGAAGTGTAAAGTCGGGGGCCCGAGGCTGGCGCTGCGCTGGAGGGGGTGGGTCGGTAGGTGGTGGAAGAGGGCACTCGGGTGCTGGGGGATGGTGGTCGGAGCGTTGAGCTGGTGGAGGCTGGAGTTCGATCGGTGGAAGTGGAAATGGGGAGTCGGGCCCCGGGGATTGGAAGGTGGAGTGCTGTGCTGGTGGAGGCTGGAGGTCGATAGGTGGAAGTGGACGTGGAACACCGGCTGATGAAGGCTGGCGCCGCGCTGGGGGCGGCTGGGGGTCGATATGGGAAGGTTGAGGTGGGAAGTCGGGTGCTGGAGGTTGGGGGTCAGAGTGCTGAGCTGGTGGAGGAGGCTGAAAGTCGATTGGTGGAGGTGGATGTGGGAAGTCAGATGTCCAAGGCTGGAGGGTGAAATGTTGAGTTGGCGGGGCCCGGAGGTCAGCCTGCGGAGGTGGAAATTGAGAGTCGGAAGCTGGAGGTCGGAGTGCGGAGCCGGGGGAGGCTGGAGGTCGATCGGTGGTGGAAGTGGCCAGCCGGACGCTGGAAGTTGGAGGTCGGAGTGCTGCGCTGGCGGCAGGGGCTGGGCGTCGGTTGGTGGAGTTGGATGTGGGACGTCGAATGTTGGAGGATGGCGGTCGGGGCGCGGAGCTGGTGGAGGGTGAACGTCGATAGGTGGAGGTGGAGGTGGAGGGGGAGGTGGGGCGTCGGATGCTGGGGAATGGGGGAGTTGCAGCAGGGCGGGCTCGTTTCTGTCCCTGGCACTCCGTGTCCTGAGTGCGCTTGTTCGCCCTACCGCGAGCGGGCTGCTGACCAGTCTTCCGTCGTTTGCGTCCGTCGCTGTCGGAGGTTGGCTGAGGGCCCTGATCGTCTGCCAGCGTGAGGTTAGACGTAGTTGCGCATGGGGATGGTGGGAGGGAGAGGAGGAGAAGATGAGGAAGACGTGCACCTAATTGTAGTTTGCGCTCCAATTGTCATAAATCGGCGACCCCTGCATCGCCACCCATGTAGTCTCCGATGTCCACGTAGTTAGAGTGTATGTTGATGGACGTGTCGTGCCCCTGGATGCGGATGCCCTTCTGGTGCGTGGCGTGGTGCAGCTTGTACAATTCCAGCTTGGTGCGGCACTGGATGAGGATCTTCCCCGTCCACCCCCCCTCAAAATTGTTGATAACCTGCCACGTGCCAAGATCCATCCCCTCTGGTGCGGCCTGCCGTGTAAGTGGGACTGCGCTCGCGAGGCTGATGTGGTTCATGAGGGAACCCAACCACGAATCCAGCTGCGCCTCAACCGGGACCTGCAGATCCAAGGTGGCTCGTAATGTCTCCGGCTTGTTGCTGTCGGGCTCGACGGGTTGATGCCCCTGCCTTGCCCTAGCGGCAGCCAGCTGCTCCGTAGTGGCCTGGACCTCCGCGCACTTCTTGGACCGGGAGGGGTCGGAATCGCGAAGTCGGAGTTGGAGGGCTGCTTTGGTGGGGTCCTGCTCCCAGGCGCGCGTCATGTGCTCACTCCAATCCCTATTGGGGCGAGTGGTCTCCACCACGGCCAGCTTTGGGGAGACCGTGATGCAGCTCTTGACCAAGTGGCCCAAAGTGTAACAGGCCGATGGAGACGTGATATCCAGCATCTTTGCCCCAGGGAGAGAGATGGTGGATTGCAGGCCCACCACGGCCCTGTAGCCACTGAGGGTCTTCCGGAGCCAGATCACGACCACCTCCTGTATCAGGGCGCTGCCCATGCGGTCGTCGAAGTGCACCTTGATGACGGATCTAGGCTCCTCCGAACGATTACCCAGGCTTGGCCGGGGACGATCGGTGGCGACCCTCCCTGGTAACCGCAGATCGTCGATCTGGCCGTATACCTGCCAGCGGAATTCATGTGGTATGTCGATCCAGATGGTCTGGAAGGTGCTGTGCTCAAATATGGTATCCTTCCATTGCCAAATCCGTGGGGGGAGGGCGGCAAGGCGCGTCCCCAGCGTGATGATAGCAAGCCCCTTACGTACATGTAAAGGCGCGTGTTTGCCGGCCACGATCATAAGCATTGGCGGGTTCAGGAAGACAGTCTCGCGCATCAACTCCTGCCACCTTGGGCCCTGCAGTGGATGATGCCACAAGTCGGTAATGTTCTGTGCTGTGGTGCAGCCGGGGTAGGAGTCAATGGGGATCAGTAGCGTGAGCGAGGAGGGGCCTGTTTCCAGGGCGTGAAGCTCCCGGAACGCTCCTGCAACCCGTATCGCCTGGCTTGCGGGCTCTGGGGCCCATGTGACCAGGGGCTGCGAAATGCAACTGAGTGCGCTTTTGATCGCACCCACCTGGCTGTTGAGCTGGCAGTGCAAGCGCCTGGTGTCCTGGACAGAGACGACGTTGGTGAACAGGTCTAAGTCCTGCCGGAAAACGTTGCTGAATTGGGTAGCCACGAGGGGTGTCCCGGTGGAGCCAGGCGGGCAGAACGCCGTAATGGAAGTCAGGCCATCTGGGGATAGCTCCCTCCAGTGGTCCACGTTCTTGGCCACCCCTTTGATCAGTCTTCTTTTCGCCTGGACGTCCTTCAAATCGAGGAGGCATTTCTCGCAAGCGATGTTGATAGACTCGAAGAGTTGGTTGCACGCGCCCCTCGTATTCGGAGTGGCCCAGTGCTGGATGAACTTTTCCGCCCACGATCGCCTGCCCTGTAATCGGGTCTCATCGATGTCGGGGCCGTCGAGTTCGGAGAAACCGAGGACGCCAAAAGGTGATGGACTCCCCAGCGCAAAACCCATGGCTGCCAAATACGCCTTAACCTCATCCACAATGGTGTCGTCCTGTGCCGACGCCAATCCGTCCAGGGTGGCAGCGGGGAGGTTGCTGTTGACGGCTCGGGCTGCCTGGATAATATCGCTGTTGTGGAGGATTTCCTGTTCCAGCAGCTCTTGGAGCTGCATGGTCAGTCCTCGGTGCGCAGGTGGTGGGAGCGGAGGTTCAACGCGAGCTGAAGGTACTGCACCGCTGGCCTCAGGCGACAGTCCTGGTGGCAGGGCCACATGGAGGCCCGCGACTCCCTGGGTGAGGCCGGTGCCATCTGCAGTGTCCAAGCTCCTCTCCTGGGCAGAGGCCGGTGCCATCATCATCATCATCATCATCATCATCATCATCATCATCATCATCATCATCATCATCATCATCATCATCATCATCATCATCATCATCATCATCCCCCTGCTCCATGTTTGGACCCTGGGAGGCAGGAAAGGGGACTCGAGGGAGACGAGAGTGGTTATTACGTGAGGGAGATGGGGACGAGACGACGGGAAGGCATGCCTCCGTCCCTCCCTCCCTCCCTCCTCACAATTTTCACCTCCTCCTCCTCTTCCCTATCCTACTACTTTTCCTTGTCATCTCTCCCTCCCCCCTCCGTCCTCTCCTCCCGCCTACTCCTCCTCCTCCTCCTCCTCCTCCTCCTCCTCCTCCTCCTCCTCCGGATCCTCCAATCCTTTCCCTTATAAGTAACTCGTACCTGTTGCACCCAGAGGCGCGTTGGTAGGACGGGCCGTCGTTTCGCTGGAGACCTCCCCACCGCTTATGATCCTTAAGCTGAGAAGTATCAAGCGCTTCACGAATGGAGGGCGGACCATTCTCAAAAATTGGGGTCTCGCCTTAGTGCCACGCGCATGCGCTTGAAACAAATTTGAGTGCGTCACGGATGGAGGGCAGGTTGCTTTCAAAATGGGGGTCCCGCCTTAGCGCCGCACATTCGCCATAACAAGTTGCAAGAGCTTCAAGGATGGAGGGCGGGTGGTTTGCCAAGTGTTGCTCTCGCCTGAGGGCCGCGCACATTTGTTCTCATAGTTTCAAAGGCTCCCATGTTAACGTCCCATAAATGGTGTGTCGACGCGATGTCGGACGGTCAGGGCGCAACAGTTACGTGGATGTGTGGCGTTGAAGTCCCAGGAATTGTGCTCTGGCCCGATCCCGGATCGCCAAGACGCAACAGTCACAGATTCGCGGCGTTGAACTTCCAGGAATGGTGTTGTCTTCCGACGGTGCACTGTCCTCAATGAAAACGAATGGCCCCAGGGGCCTATGAAGAAGGAACTTGGAGGGTCTGTTGCAAGATCGTTGGTGGATCTTGGGTTTCACTGGTCCCCGTTGTCCCCCTCCTGCATCTGCTCTTCCTCCTCCTCGTCCTCCTCTTCCTGCTCCTGATCCCCCATGTCCTCCTCATCCTCCTTCTCCTCTTCTCCTCCTCGTCTTCCGCCACCGCCGCCTCCCCCTCCTCCTCTTCATCAGCATCATCCGTCCGCCTTCTCCTCTCCATTCCTCCTCATCCTCCTCCTCTCCTCCTCGGCCTCCTCCTCCTCCTTCTGATCCTCCTCCTGCTTATCACCATCACCATCCTGATCACCAAAAACACCACCATCATGATCAGAATCATCCTCCCTCCTACTATATCAGATTCCTCATCCTGCTCCTCCTCCTTCTCCTTATCACCCTCCTCCTCCTCCTCCCCCTCCTCCTCCTCCTCCTCCTCCACCTGATCCTATTCCTCCTCTTCCTCCCCATCGTCAGCCGCAGCATCATAATCATCTTGGTGATCACCATCACTATCACTACAGTCCTCGTCCTCCTCATCATCATCACAATCATCATCATGAGCATCACCGTCAGCATCATCATCATCATCAACATCCTCATCATCATCAGCATCAGCATCATCATCATCATCGTCATCATCATCATCATCATCATCATCATCATCATCATCATCATCATCATCACCAGCATCGTCAATATCGGCATCATCGTAATCAACATCGTCAACATCAGCATCGTCATCGGTATCACACTCGCAATCGGCATCAGCATCATCAGCCGCATCAACAAAATCATCAGACGCATCATCATCATCATCATCAGCAGCAGCATCATCAGCAGCATCATCAGCATACTCATCAACATCAACAGCATCACCATGCTACATTACAATCATCGTCAGCATCACCGTCCTATACGGATAACTAGCAGCGTCACCAGCATCGTCGTACTCATACGCATAAAAATCCGCATCGCCGCTACCATCATCAGCACCATCACCAACATCATCAGCACAATCAGTAGCATCAACATCATCATCGTCATCAGCATCAGCAGCATCGGCATCGTCGCCGTGATCGTCATCCATCATGGTCCATCATGTTGACCATCCTGTCCCTCGTCCTCCTGATCATCATCAGCAACATCAGCAGCACCCTAGTAACCATCACCACCACCACCACCGTCCTGATCATCATCGCGATCCTCCTGATCATGACCCCAACGTCGTCATGAACATTAGCATCAGCAAACACGTCATCGTCTTGAACAGCATGATCGTCATCGTCGTCACAAGCATCACCAGTATCATCACCATCATCATCAGCAGCCTAAGCAACACCGTCGTCGTCGTCGACGTCGCCGTCATCATCATCAGCACCATCAGCATCATCATCGGCAGCATTATCATCGTCAGCATCATCACCATTATCATCACCAACAACATCAACATCAGCATCCACAGCATTATCATCATCACCATCATCACCATCACCAGCATCATTGTCGTCAACATCATCATCACCATCAGCATCAGCACCATCATCATCGTCAGAATCACCCGCGGCAAATCCACATTGCCACCGTATATCTTCACCAGCATCAAACTCGTCGTAGCCCGTATCAGTATCATCAGAATCGTCATCGCCATCATCATCATCATCATCATCACCATCATCATCAACATCATCAACAACAACATACTCATCACCATCACCATCACCATCACCATCACCATCAGCATCAGCATCAGCATCAGCACCCCATCATCATCAGCATCAGCATCAGCGTCATCAGCATCATCAGCATCACCAGCACCATCATCATCACAGCAGTATCATCACCAGCAGCATCGTCAGTGTCATCGTCATCATCCTCATCAGCAGTAGCAGCGTCCATTATTTATTATAGTTCTTATTAGTGTCATCATTATCGTTATCATCATCATCATCATCATCATCATCATCATCATCACCATCATCAGCAGCAGCATGATTATCAGTAACATTATTAACATTATTATCAGCATCGTCATCATCATCAGCAGCAGTATCATCAGTATCAGCATAATCATAATCGGCATCAGTATCGTCATCGTTGTCGCTATCGTCGTCGTCATCACAATGAGCAGCAGCAGCAGCAGCATTCCCATTCTCGTATCTCACTCGTGCCCCTCCTCCTCCTCCTCCTCCTCCTCCTCCTCCTCCTCCTCCTCCGATTCCTTCTTGTGCTCCTCATCCCCCACTCCCCCGCCCCTTCCTCCTCCTCCTCCTCCTCCTCCTCCTCCTCCTCCTCCTCCTCTCCTCCTCCTCCTCCTCCTCCTCCTCCTCCTCTCTCCTCCTCCTCCTCCTCCTCCTCCTCCTCCTCCTCCTCCTCCTCTCATCCTCCTACTCCTGGTCTCCTCTTCCTCTCCTTCTCCTCCTCCTCCTCCCGCTCCTTCTCCTCCTCCTTCTGCTTATGATCCTCCTCTTGCGCCCTTCTCCTCTTCCTAGCCAGTCCTCTCGAAAGGGGGGACCCGAGGTGCGTCGGCCAACTTGGGAGTGACAATGCTGACGCGAGCCGTCAAGAAGGTGGCGCCCAACGTCATCAGCTGCAACGTTGGGACTAGGCCCCAACAGAGTACGCACCTTCTGATGGTGCCTTCTCTCGTCCCCATTCCTCCCGTGGCCCCCTGCTTCCCCCCTCTCGCCCTGACGTCAGGAGAACTCCGTACCGATCATCGTCCATGGCGTCATCCAGGCACTGACCAGAGAACGCGCAGCTCCTTCGCGTACGCCCGCGGCGACGGCGACTCGATGCAGGACGGCGCGACCCGATGCAGGACGGGGCGCTGGGCGCTGGCCAGCTGCAGGCGAGCAGCGGCGGCCGACGCGGGGACGAGCAGAGCCCACCGTCATGCGTTGCAGCGCCCGGGCCGAGGCGTGCGAGCAATGCAGGGCAGCAAAGGGGAGACCGCGGCCACGACGAGGGCGGCGGTGGCCAGCGCGCGACGGCGTCCCGCTCGCGCGCGAGCGGGCGGGCAGCGGCGGCCAGCGCGGGAGCCCGCCGCCGTCGGCCACGGCGACGAGGCCAACGCGCGCAAGAAGGGCGAGCCGAGCTCCCGCCAGGGTGCGTCCGCGCCATCGGCGCATCAAGCGCCTCTGTGCGCCGCAGCATGCAGGGCGGGGGGGGGTCCAGCCCCCCCCCCCCGCCCCCAACACGATCGTTGGCGTTGACTGGGGGGGGGGGGGGCGGGGGTTGGCCCAGGCAACGAGCGCTACCCGTAGGTCGGGCCTGGCCCCCTGCCACGGGATTTTGGACGAAAAACAAAAGATAGCCAAACAATGCCCCAACATGGCCAATAACTGCTCAAAAAACCGTCCCCTGACTATTTCTATCCATTTTTGAATACCCGTCCTGTAGAGGGACAGGCCCGACGCAAGGCTACCCTGGGGGGGAACAAAAAAAGCTCACCTCTGGGATGCGGCGCCCGAGGCAGACACCACCAGCTGCACTGGTGGGGGGCGCAGCGCAGACGGGCGGGGCGCAGCGAGGCTCGGAGACCTAGCCCGGAGCCAGATGCCATCGGCTGCATGGAGAGGCCGCGCGGTGCGCGCAGGCAGCGCGGTGGCCGCGGGCGCCGTTGCCGCTCGACGGGTCCTGGGACCGGAAGCGGGGGCTGAGGGAGGAGGAGGAGGAGGAGGAGGAGGAGGAGGAGGAGGAGGAGGAGGAGGAGGAGGAGGGCGGCAGCGAGGTTGAGACCAGCTACAATCCAGGAGTCCAACTTCCCCCGCCCCTCTCGTCAACTATGGCGCTAGCATCAGCTGCGGCAGGGGGGGGCAGCAGGCCCTTGTGAGGGCTACCGTTCAGGAGGCCCTGCCTAGTCGCCCAGGCCAGGCCTGGGGGTAGGTGGCAGGCTCGTTCCGTCGGCCCAAATTTCGTGCTCGATGTGGAGCTGATCAGGCCACCTCGATCCTCCTCCTCCTCCTCCTCCTCCTCCTCCTCCTCCTCCTCCTCCTCCTCCTCTTCCTCCTCCTCCTCCTCATCCTCCTCCTCCCCTCTCCTCATCCTTTCCTCCTCCTCCTCCTCCTCTCCTCCTCATCCATCCATCATCATCATCATCATCATCATCATCATCATCATCATCATCATCATCATCAGCATCATCATCATCATCATCATCATCATCATCATCATCATCATCACATCATCATCTCATCATCCATATCATCATCATTCATCAGCATCATCATCATCATCATCATCATCATCATCATCATCCATCATCATCATCATCATCATCATCATCATCATCATCATCATCATCATCATCATCATCATCATCATCATCATCATCATATCATCATCATCATCATCATCATATCCTCCTCTCCTCCTCTCCTCCTCCCTCCTCCTCCTCCTCCTCCTCCTCCTCCTCTTGCGCCTCTCTCTCTCTCCTCCTGCCCCCTCCTCTTCCTCCTCCTTGCCTCCTCCTCCTCCACCTCCTCCTCCTCCTCTTCCTCCATCCCTTTCCCATATAAATTACCCTTTCTGTCGTTCCCCCAAAGGTGTCGGTAGAGCGGGCCGGGCCTTCCGCCTGAGTCTCCCTCACCATTTATGACCATGAAAATTGAAACTTGCAGCAGCTTCAAGGATGGAGGGCGGAAGGTTTGATACATGTGGCTGACGCCTCAGCGGGGAGCGCATTCGTCTTCAAAGTTCTGCAGCCTCTTCAAGATTGGAGGGCGGCTGGTTTTCAAAATGTGGTTTCGCTGCAGCGCCGCGCACATTCCTCATACAACCTGCGACAGCTTCAACGATGGAGGGCAGCTGGCTTTCGAAATGTGGCTCTCGCCTCAGCGCCGCGCGCGTTCGTCTTAAACGTTTGCAGCAGTATCATGGATCGGGGGCGGTTCCTGTTCAAGATGCGGCTCTCGCCTTCGCGCCGTGCACATCGGTCGTAAAACTTTGCAGCAGCTTCAAGGACTCGTATGGTTGAAGTCCCAGGAGTAATGTTCTGACATTGTTTAGGGTGGCCAAGACACAACAATCACTTTTGACTCGCGGTGTCGAAGATCCAGGAACCGTGTTCTGGAACGGTTTAGGCGCAACAATCGCGCTGATTCGCGGCGCTGCTGTCCCAGACATAAGGCTAAGGATTCTCAGAAGGTTGTCTTCCAATGCGGCACTTCCCGCAATGAGCTTACATTATTGTAGGACCGATGGGAGGGAGGGTGTATTACAACATCGTTGATGCGTCTCGGGTTTACACTGGTCCTCGTCATCGTCCTCGTCCTCGTCCTCGACCTCGTCCTCGTCGTCCTCCTCCTCCTCCTCCTGCTCCTGCTCCTCCTCCTCCTCCTCCTCCTCCTCCTCCTCCTCCTCCCCCTCCTCCTCCGTGAAAGGGCGAACGCAACAGCAGGCCATGGGCACTGTCTCGCGGCTCCTCTGTCTCGCCTCGGGCCTGGGCCGCGATCTTCACGTAGCAGAGGCTGAGGATCGGTTCCCTGCTCTGGGAGGGGCTCCCCATCCTCCCTCAATCCTGCCTCCTCCTGCTCCCTCAATACCCCCTCCTCCTCCTCCTCATCCTCCTCCTGATGATGACGATGATGATAATGATGCTGCTGATGATGATGGAGATGACGATGCCGACGATGACGACGATGATGAGGATGGTGACGGTGATGATGACGATGATGATGATGGTGATGATGATGATGGTGATGATGATGATGAAGGTGGCCATCAGCCTCATCTTCACCGTCGTCATCAGCGTCATCATCACCACCACCAACACCACCAACATCACCATCACCATCACCTCCACCAGCACCATCACCATTACCATCACCATTATCATAAGCAGCACCAGCATCACCATCACTATCACCACCGTGAGCATCATCGTATCCCCTCCCACTTATGTTCCTCCTCGTTGTCCTCCTCCTGCCCCTACTCGTTATGTTGCTCCCCATGTCTGCGCCTCCTCCTCCTCCTCCTCCTCCTCCTCCTCCTCCTCCTCCTCCTCCTCCTCCCCTTCGTCCTTAGTTCCACCATGCTCCTCATCCTCGTGCACCCAGCTGCGGGCTCTCTGGGGAGCGCCAGTGCCTTCCGAGCGGCGACGCCAACTTGAACAGACAAGGGACGAGCGCCGCCGCCCCCCCCCCCCACTCACGCACGCACCGCTCGGCGCACATGCCTGTGGAATCGACCCCCCGCGCCCCTTACTCCAGTGTCTTTGTTTGTCCGCGCGCGATCTCCGCAAGGCTGGCGTCTGCCGCGTACCCTAAGGCTTCTACGAACGGACGCGGAATGGCGGCGCTCAATGGCCGTGGGCGAGTAACCTCTAGGCAAGGCTCGAGCTAAACTGCGCTCTCCGTTTTCGCGTCGTCTTCGTGCTCCCTCGTTCTGTCTTCGTGCCGCCCTTGGTGCAAAACGAGATCAGCACGAAAACGGCCCACGAACTCGCCAAACTATCACTGCACCGATCTTGCAGACGAGCTGCCTCGGATTTTTGCGTGGTTTTTCTGTCAACGCACAACTCCGAAACGGCAAGCGAAACACGAAGTGAATCTCACGTGGATGCTTGTGTACAATCGTCCTTCCTTCGGCGGTGGACAAACCTCCCTTTAGTAAACCTCCCCTTAGTGAAAACGGCCTGAGACCGAAACCGACGGACCTGGACACACAAAAATGACGGCTGCGGCGCTGTCTCACGAACCGAAAACGGCCAATTCGCTAATCGACATGTCAGGGTAGGAGGTCTGTCCACCCCCGACTCTTGGCCGGGAGAAGGCCGCACGAAAATCCCTTCGAAATCCGGAACGAGCTCCTCCAGGACACCCCGGGCCCATGCCATGGTCTTCCGAAGGAAATCCGCCCTGCGATGTTGGCGTCATGGAAAATATCGTATAGCTTTAAGTCGGGCGTGTACAGGCGGATTTTGGACGAAAAATCAAGGATACTCCAAAAATGCCAGAAACATTGCTCAAACATAGTCCCAACATCTTCCCTGGACTATTTTTTGACTATTTGTGCATATTCCCCCTGTAGAGGGACAAGCCCGACTGAAGTTCAGCTCGAGCCCGCCTCTGGGAACGCTCTGCGAGGCGGCGGCGCCAGCCCCTGTCTGTCTCTGCTGCGACTCCCTCGGCCCACATGGGGAACATCTCCTTCGCCTTATCCTGCTCCCTTCCACCTCCTCGTATTCGTCGTCGTCGTATTCAGGGCGGGCTCGAGCTGAACGGTATTGCTAAGGCCTTACGCCCAGCGCCGCCGACGCTGAAGACGACGACGACGAATACAAGGAGGAGGAGGAGGAGGAGGAGGCGGAGGAGGAGGAGGGGGAGGAAGAGGAGGAGGAAGAGGAGGAGGGAGGAGGAGGAGGAGGAGGAGGAGGAGGAGGAGGAGGAAGAGGGAGGAGGAGGAGGAGGAGGAGGGGGGGGGAGGGGGAGGAGGAGGAGGGGGGGGAGGAGGAGGCGGAGGAGGCGGAGGAGGAGGAGGAGGGGAGGGAGGAAGGGGAGGAGGGGGATGAGGAGGAGGAGGAGGAGTACGAGGAGGCGGAGGAGGAGGAGGAGGAGGAGGAGCTTCCTCTCCCCCTTCCCTCCCCTCTCCTCTCTGGCAAGGGATGGTCCTACTCCGCGCTGGGAAAAAAAACGGGTCTACCGCGAGATGCCATGCATAGGGACCGCACGCGGTGGCTGACGCGGGCCTCCAGCGCGGCACGCCACATTGGAAGCGAGGGCGCCTACTCGCGAGAAAGGGTAGGGTGGGCGGGAGGGAAACGGGACTGACGGGGACAACAGGCAGGCGATGACAAAGAGCACTGCCACCAGCCAAACCAGCGGGGCGCTCCAGCCAGGCTAGCGGGGCTGGCGCAAGCTGCCCCACTGTACTTTAGATACTCCGAGTTTGGTAATAATCGCCCCCTTGGGCGCGCGCTGTCAGAAGGAATTGCCGGGGAGATGGCAGTGTTGGAGCACTGGCGGTCCCAAAGAGACCCTGGGGGTGGCCACGAGGCACCACGAGAGACCCGAAAGGTCTTCCAAGGGGCCCCGGGAGTCGCCTCAGCGGGCCAACAGAAGTAAGGTGGAGATCTGAACAGAACACTCGGGTTGGATACCAAAGACAACATATAAACGCACAGGCGACGTGCAGGTATCCGACCCCGTCGCTGGGATCGGATACAAAGGAACACATGTCAAAAACAAAGGACGTGCAGGAGGTCGTGTTCCACTTCGTCGTCCAAGCAGGTCGCTGCCGCGTTGGCGTTCGCTTTAGGCTTGGTCTTGGGGGAAGCAGCCGGTGATTAATTTCTTGAACAGCCCGGAATAGATGTCTTGAAGCGGCTCTGTTGGGCATCAACCCTGCTTGGAAACCAGCCGGGATCAACCTACTATGCTCGTACAGGCCAGAAGCAGAGGGAGGTGGGAGCGATGGCACGTTGTCAGCATAGGGGTGGGAGGAGACTGTGAGGAGGAACCAAAGATTGGAGAGGGGACATGGAGGGGCTACCCCCTGACCTTTCAGAACTGCCTCTTGTCTCCTCGGGCGACATGTTCGCGCGGTCGTGCCCACTAAGGTACCCGCTAATGTGCCCACTAGGCTCCACGGTCAGGGGGGATCCTTCAAGGAGACCCGTCGCAAAATCCTGTGCCTCTTGGGGCCCTCCTCGACTGTTGCTGGCAGTTGTTAGGGGCCTCTTGGGCCGGCTGGGGCCCCTATAAGATGGCCAAAGAGGTCCCCGAGAAGCCCCCGAAGGCCCCTAAGAGGCCTCAAGATGCCTCCAAGAACCTCCCAGGAAGCTCCCAGGAGGCCCCAAGACAGCCCCAAGAGGCTCCCAAGATGCCCCCTTCTCCTCCTCCTCCTCCTCCTCCTCCTCCTCCTCCTCCTCCTCCTCCTCCTGCTCCTCTGCTGTTTGCGCTGCCCTCCCCTTCCTCCACCGTGCCTCCCAGAGTCTGCTCGCGGGCGGGCTTCGCACCTCCCCACGCGGCTCCTCCGAGCGACCGCGCTCCAGCACCCCAGGGCGTCGGAGCCTGCCCCCCGGAGGGGCCTCTGCAGAGGCACAAGAATCGGCGGTGGACAGACCTCCCTTTAGTGAGCCCACCTTGAGTGAAAACGGCCCAGGACCGAAACCGACGGACCTGGACCCGCAGAGGTGACGGCCGCGGCGCCCCCTCGCGAACCGAAAAGGGCCAATTCGCTGATCGACGTGTCAGGGTAGGAGGTCGATCAACCTCCAAAAGACAGAACTCCTCAGTGCAAGCACTGCGCGGAGGAATCGAGCCTTCACCGCGTGCTTCATACAGGAATGGCTGGCGTGACACCTATGCTGCCCACGACACGTTCGCGTCGTGTCGACCCTGGCGCTGGTTCCTGACACCGCGGGGACCATTCAACCTTGAACGATCGGCCGCTTCCGAAACGTCAGATCGTTCAACATCGACCGATTCTGGGTCGCAGGCGGCGTCCAACGTTGAACGGCAGCGGCGGGGTCGCCGCTGGTCGACACGACACGACTCGAGCCTGAAGTAGGTTTAAGTCGGGTCTGTCCCTCTACAGAAGGATACTCAAGAATAGGAAAAAATAGTTTTGGGACTATTTTTGAACATTTGGGGGGCATTTTGTTCGCATTTTTTAATTTTCGCGCAAAATCCCCCTGTTGGAGGACAGGCCCGACTTAAAAAGTTAAACCAAAAAATCAAAACATCTTCAAAAATAGTGAAAAAATGCTCAAACAATAGTCCCCAGACTATTTTCAAAACTGTTTTCAAATATTCCCCCTGTAGAGGGACAGGCCCGACCTCACACGAGCCTAACGTAGGGTCTCGGTCCGCCGAGATGTCAAAAGCAGCCCAGGCCCTCCCCCCAGAGGCAACATTCCTCACAGCTGGGCAGAAGCGTGCGACCACCGGCCAGGAGGAGGAGGAGGAGGAGGAGGAGGAGGAGGAGGAGGAGGAGGCCCAAATGCGCTTCCCCACTGGCCCCAGGCAGCTGCAGTCTCCTCCCTCCCTCAGTCCTGGAGCACGTCCTTGCAGCTGGGCAGAAGCGTGCGACCACCGGCCGAGCACCTCCCCAAAAATACGCTTCCCCACTGGCCCCAGGTAGCTGCAGCCTCCTCCCTCCCCCAGTCCTGGAGTACGAGATCTTCTCCAGGGAGCAGCACGCCCGCACGGCTTCGGCAGCGTGTTGGCCTTCGCTACCGCCGGGGCGAACGTCCACCAAAGCCTGCGCTCTCGTGTACGGTGGAACTGGTAGGGAGAGCGGGAGAGAGAGAGGGAGGAAAAGAGAGAGAGAGAGAGCGAGAAACAAAAAAGAGAGAGAAAGGGATAACGAGGAGGGGAGGAGGGGGGAGGAGGCGACTGGGCCTGACCATAGGGAGCGTTTACACCAAAAACGCTTCGACCAAAAATCGTCTTCGGACCCGTTCTTGAAAGCAGGGTGTTCGGGCCTGCGGGCGGCAGTTCGCTGGAGGGCCTGTCTCCAGGGGGAGCGAACGACCACCGCTGCGGACAAGAGTCTGGGCCTAGCTCAGGCCAGGTGGGTGAGGAAGTGGCCTCTGGATTCTGGCGTGTCTGGACACATGCATTGCGAGACATGAACAATCAGGAGGAGAGGATGGGGATGTGATGATGATGATGATGATGATGAGGAGGAGGAGGAGGAGGAGGAGGAGGACGAGGAGGAGGAGGAGGAGGAGGAGGTGGAGGAGGAGGAGGAGGACAAGGAACAACGGCAAAACCGAGGCGGCGGCACGGAAGCGGCGACTCCACCTCTGGTTCCTTGTCGTCGCGCGAGGAAGCGGATACCGGAATGACACATGCGCGCGCGAGAATGGATTCTCGACGTCGGAGCTGTTCGCAGGGGGGAAACCGGGGCTAACACCAGGGTCTGGGGCCCTGTGGGTCCTCAAATCTGGCCAGATGTTGCGTGTTCCCCCGAAGCGCCGACTGCAGCACCTCCGATGCAGTTTGAATCGACCACATCCCCCTGTTTGTCATAGAGCCTGTTCTAGTGCGCTTCGCACGAACAACTACACCAGGCATGCAAAACCACCTCAGAACTGAAAGTTTCGATGAGCATACAAGAAAGCCGCTGGAGTCCATGCTGCCCTTGGCTGACTCTGTCGGCCTTCTTGCCTTGGCGTCCTCATCTCTGCCATGGTGCGCGATTGCCACCCTGACGACAGAATACTCGGCTGTCTATATTCAGATCCCCAACAAGAGCGACGACGCTCGGGAAAACCTAGTTGCGAACCCATGTCGCCAGCATGACAAAACATCGAGTCATGTCCGCATCCCATCAGGGTGTAGTGCCTGCTCATCTTTCGCGCTGGTCGACAGAACCCTGGCGTCCAGCTCCCATTCGCAATGCAGTGCAGCCCTAATCCACGAACAGACATGCGAGAAGCAGCCCTTCGCATCGTGCAGATCACGATGTCAAGCGCGCCCACCGTTGCGCGTTGTTTGACGTCGCACTGGCCAGAATCGACGGGCGAGAATGTAACTCTGCAGCGGAAGCCAACCTGGGGCGGCAGTCTGTGCAGATAAGGTTATATGGCCAAAAACAAACTCACGCATCCCAGGTATCATCCTGAACACGATGGCGTGGCCACGCCCCCACGAAGCACGCAGCAGAAATGTGGGCACGGGCCTGCTGATCTCTTGCATGCTGTCGGAGTCCCGCTATCCCTCCTATTCCCCCCTCTTTGTTGAATCCCAGTAACACGACCGGCGTGCTGACCCCCCCCCCCCTCGCGACAAGGGGTGCGTCGCGCGCTCGTCGCCCGTGCGCCGCCCGTGCGTCGGGCGCCGAAAAACCGTCCTCGCGAACGTGCGCGTCGCCCTCGCAAGGGGGCCCCTTTCCTTTCAATCCCTGTCCGCCCTGCAGGAGGCCCGTCTGGGTCACCCGCCCGGCCGGACAGCGCGGGGCGGGCTCTGAGCATCGCGTGCGGGCAGCCTGGCAATGCCCGACCCGCGGAGGGCGTCCTTCCCGCATCTGGTAGCCTTTTCGGCGGGCCCTCCACGCAAGGCCGAGAGAGGCCTGGCCTGGGGGTCCCTCCTCCGCCTCCTGTTCCTCCCTCCGCCTCCGCCTTCACCTCCCCCCTCCGCCTTCCTCCTTCTCCCTCCTGCGCCTTCCTCTCTCTCTCTCTCTCTCCCTCTCCTCCCTTATCCGCCTTCTTCTTTGTCATCCCTCGTCCTCCTCCGCCTTCCGCCCAACGCCTCGTCTCTCCCTCCCCCTATCCCTCGTCCTCATCATGATCCTTGTCGTCGTCTTCTTCCCCCCCCCGACTTCGGAGAACAGGACACCGAAGAGCCCTGCAATCGCGACACACCGCCACGGGCGGGCCCCAGCCTTGATGGCGTGCCTGCCCAGGGCTTTGAACAGGTCGTTCAGCGACCATTCCGCTGGGTGGCCCAGAGTGAAGATGACCCCTGCGACGTGCTTTCTCCTGACGAGGACGGGTCGCACGGCGCCGCTTCCACCCTCGTTCTGCTCACCATGCCACTGCGTGCACCAATCTGTCCGCAGCGCCCGTCCCGGCACAGTCTAAGAGCGGTGTTCAAAGAACACCCGCAGTCGCATCTCGAGGCACGCACGTGCTGAGGGCAACGCCGCTCTGTGCATGCTGCCCACCAGGACGTCCCGAAGAACGCCCTGAACACGTCTCCATCATGACTTCCATTATCATCCTCCTCCTCCTCCCAGACCCTCTGTTCCTTGTCCTCCTCCTCCTCCTCGACGCCTCAACCCCTGCGCTTTCGCGCTCTTCAGTAAAAAAAAAAGAGAGAGCTTCCTCTTCTTCCTCCCTCCTCTTCCTCCTCCCTACTCCTCCTCCTCCTTCCTTCCTCCTCCTCCTGTTTCCTCCTCCTGCTCCGTCCTCCTCTTCCTCTTTGGGTCCTTGGCGCACCACGTCCTGCTGATGCAAGACGTGGTGCGAACCTTTCTCCTCCTCGTCCTCCTTCCTCCTCCTCCTTCCTCCTCCTCCTCCTCCTCCTCCGCCTCCTCCTCCTCCTACTGCATCTTCCGTTCCCTGCACCAAGCGCCAAGCGACGCTCGCTGAGGCGTGTGAGCGCCCCCGCGGGGCAGGCCCCAGGAGGGAAGCCGCATCCTGGCGCCTCGTGCAGAGCAGGACGTCCCCCTCCGCCTCCTCTTCTTCCTCCTCCTCCTCCTCCTCCTCCTCACCATCGGTTATCCTCGTCATCGTCGTCGTCATTATCATCACCATCAACAACAACATCGGATTCATCATCAGTATCATCATCAGTATCATCACTGTCATCATCATCATCATCATCATCATCATCATCATCATCATCATCATCATCATCATCATCATCATCATCACCATCATCATCATCATCATCATCAGCATCATCATCATCATCATCATCATCACCATCAGCATCAGCAGCATAATGAGATTCGTCAGCATCATCACCAGTATCGTCATATTCACCACCATCATCATCAACAGCATCATCAGCTTTAGCAGCGCCATCGTCATATGCATCACCCTTCTCCTCATCATCATAATCGGCATCATCATCAGCATCGTCCGCAGCATCAGCATCTGAATCATCATCAGTATGATCATGATCATGGTAATGATCATCATCAGCTTGATCATCATCACCATCACCATCATCACCATCGCCATCATCAATCAACATGATGAAGATGATGGTCCTCATCATCAGCATCATCATTCCATTAATCACCATCATCATCATCATCGTCATACTCGTCATCATCATCATCAGCAGCATCAGCATCGTCATCATACTCGTCATCATCATTATCAGCAGCATCAGCATCAACATTAACATCACCATCATCATCATCAGAGCAGCATGCTCATAATCATCACCAGTATCAACAACTTGATAAGCATCACCATCACCATCATCATCACCATTACCCTCATTACCAGCATCATCATCAGCATCAGCATCATTACCAACATCATCATCAGCAGCAGCATCATCATGAGCATGATCATCATCATCATCAGCGTCATCATCATCATCATCATCATCCTCATCATCATCAGCAGCATGACCATCATCATCACCACAACCATAACCATTATCGTCATCATCCTCATCATCTTCATCCGAGTAGTAATAAACATGGGTATACACAAGAATAAGACTAATGATTATAAGAATCATTATCAGCATCAGCATCATCAGCATCATTATCACCATCAACCATAACCAATAACAAATCACCATCAGCATCAGCATCATCATTACCCTCATCATCACCATCATCATCATCATCAGCATCATCATCATGATACTTATCAGGTTCAACATCAGCATACGCATCAACATCAGCATCAACATCATCATCGTCGTCGCCATAACCGTGACATTCATCAGCATCATCAGCATCATCGTTACCATGATCGTTATCACAATCATAATCATCAACGGTACCATCCTCATCCTTATCATCATCATCGCCATCATCGTGATCATCATAATCATCAGCATCGTCATCCTCGTCGTCATTGTCGTCCTGATCGTCGTGGTCACCATGATCATCATCCTCGTAAGCACCATCCTCATCATCATCGTCGCATCATGACCACGACCATGACCATGACCATGACAATGACCATGACCATGACCATGACCATGACCATCATCATCATCATCATCATCATCATCATCATCATCATCATCATCATCATCCCCATCATCATCAACATCATTAGCATAATCATTATCATCATTATCAGCATCATCATCGTACTCACCATCAGTATCATCATACTCATGAGCATCATCACTATCATCATCAGCATCATCATCATCTTCGTCATCATCATCATCATCCTCATCATCCTCATCATCATCATTATCATCATCATCGTCGTCGTCTTCATCATCTTCATCGTCATCATCATCATCACCATCATCATCATCATCGTCGTCGCCCTCGTCGTCATCATCATCGTCGTTACCAAGATCATCATTCTCATAAGCATCATCCTCCTCATCATCATCAGCGCCATCATAATCGTCGTCGTCACCATGACCATCACCATCACCATCATGATCAGAATCATCATCACCATCATCATCAACATCATCAGCATCGTCGTCGTCGTCATCATGACCGTCACCATCATCATCATCATCAGCATCATCATCATCATCATCACCATCATCCTCATCATCTGCATCATCAGCATCAGCATCATCAGCATCAGCCTCCAGTCCTCCCGCGCGATGCTTCGTCGCCGCCCCTGCGCTACCAATGCGCCGCCCGCCGGCACCCCGGCTGCGCCCGTCGGGGCCCTCACGCCGGGGCCGGGCCCGGGCAGGCGCAGCGCAGGCCGTGCAGCGTGGAACCCCGAGCTGACCGGGGCGGCACCCGGCGAGCCTCGGACTCCACCGGTCTCTGGCGCTGCGGCGCGAAGGGGAGGGAGGCGCTGCGCGCCGCGAGGAGCGGTTGGGACAGACCACGGGGG